TGCGCAGAGTATCGGAAGAGGTCAATAGAGAAGAAGCCAGAGTATGACAAACAGGTGTGATCTACTGCTTTGCTTCAAACCAAGAATGCTTTTCCATTTCCGCTTGCAAGCTTTCTTGTTTGTTTTATATTTGTTGTGCTTGCTTTCAGAGGTTGGATGATTACTACAATCGTAACTACAAGGAGTACTTTGAGCTCATCGAAGGTTTTTCAAAGGGTAAAAGTGAGGATTTGCTCTCAGAATCTGAGAAGGGGATTCGAGAGTGGCTGCAGAGAAACAAAAAATGATTCTAAGCAGCAGCAAGTCTAGCAAAATGGGTGTTGAAGAAGGCTGCAAACTTAGAACATAGAAAAATAAATAAATAAATAATGCCCCATATTATAAACCCTCAGGTAAGCTATGAAGCTTACCAAGATATATATATGCAGTTGTACATGTATGATCAAGCACATTGCTTTTTGAATATATATTTTCTATTTCTTCTTTTCATTAAAAACAATTAAGAAAGAAACATGTACGGGAGTTGTGTTCGGTTCGTTTACACCCCTAGGTGCAAGAGATTACAAACATGCTCCAAGTTCAACCGTGCTACTTGGCCAACTTGGCCCATGTAATTGGCCGTGCAGTCCAGTCGTTGCATAGAAAATTGTCTTGCATTCTACGGCTTAATTGTTTGCATTACATGGCCAAGTATGATTTAGTCCCCTTAGACTTGGAAAAAAAGTACTCATCCTTTGATGGGAGCTGCTCGTAGGATTTTCTATGAGAAATGAGCTCCTTGAACATAGAAGAATACTCGGGCGCATCAAATTTATATGAATAGTCATGACAATATTCATAGTTCAAATTTTAGTGTCAATAAAAAGCCATTTAGTCTCACCATTTTTATATGAATACTTTCAAATTGTGCTGCGTCCTCATGTGCACAAACCAAATGAAATACTGTAGTACGCTACAGTTGTTTTCGATTTTCTTTCTCTTTTTTATTTTTTGTGAAAGAGTCACCATTTTTCTATTGTCGTATCTATCTCTTTTCCAAATAAATCTCTCTTCCGGATCATATGGATCACCTGGAAAGAAGAATCAAAAAAGACGAGACATAAGACAATGATGAAAGGCGAGAAAAAAACACGTGAAGAACTTTCGTAAGGTAAACTTTGTGTGATAGCGCAAGAGCGTACGCCCAAAACAAGATCGAGTCGAAAATGTTTTAGAATATATCCATGAAGAATAGCTTATGATAGTAACTAACAATCAGAGAGTCAAGTGTGTGTACTTGTTTTGGGGTTAAGAGTAACTCCCAAAGAGATGTATATCTTTGGTTAATTACATTTTGAGGGGTACCCAAGAATACTCTCGATTAAAGAAATTCTACTTACACTTGTATAACGACTAGTATAGAGTGTCAAAAAAGACAATTATCTCACAGGGCATTCCGATGACTTAAAAGCTCACGCCAATCCATACGGGCAGAGAGTACGTCTCTCACGATCCCGTGCAAATGGCGGCTTGTCAGCCACCATGGCATATGAAATAACTGAGTCATTATGTGGGGTCCACACTATGCTTCTAAGGCCTGACTGGGTCATAAGGGTAGAGAGTGAATAACTGTATCCCAAATGGGTCGCGGTCTATCCACAATCAGGGCCTGCAAGATGACGTCAACGAAGCATCAAGAGGAGCGACAGGGCTCAAGGAGGGTAAACAAATGAATAGAAGAGTAATCCTAATCAGGTAGAGATAGACGAGTAAAGATATCACGGATCCGTCATCCCAAGCTATTAGGACCCTAAATCTACCTGATCATGAAGGTAGTCGACCTAACATAACCGGAGAAGTCTACCTGATCATGAAGGTAGTCGACCCAACATAACCGGATATCCCCTCATCAGCAATTCGTGAATTTTGTCGTCTAAGGGAACCTCGATAGCTCTAAGTTCAATGGAAGGAAACTCTAATCCTCTGACCCAATGTAGGTAGGAAGAGCAGAGGTGGGATTTATAACTGTCAAAGTGGCTAGAATGATGCTATAGGTGGATTATCATTTTATCTGTGATCATCTCAAGCTACAACAAATTAATCTAATGCATATCATGCTAGAAGATTAACCTGCCGATCTACTTACTAAATCGCGTTCGACCACTCTTCAACAACTCCTTAAAAGCAAGCTCGCACTTCTTCCTCTAGATTGTTCGCATGAAAGGGGGTTTTTTGACATACATGGGCCTCTGTGGACTGCCTCCTCTGCACTTCCTACTGAGAATAGCGTCATAGTTGTTAGCTAGGGCATAAACTGTAGAGGGAAAGCCAATTTGTATTAATATAAGCACTTGTATATTTACCTTTCGATCCTTTTAGTAATATTACAAGTATGTCACTCTCTGTTGTATAAATACATACCTTTGTAAAAATTCTATGCATGTGAGAAATAAATAAAGTTTAGTTTTCTCTACCTGTTAATCTTCTCTTCTTCGAGATCTATAAGTGTATTTTTTTAGATTTTTAGAATTTGTTTTAAAAAATTAATTTGCTTGTATTTAAAAATACTCAAAATAGTTAAAAATTATTTTAGTATTTTAATAACAACTAATTATGTTATAACATATCAAATATTTTTTACTTCAAATAAAATTTAAAAGAAAAATAAAAAACGAATAATCAAAAGCGATTCCAAACGGCCGCTAAGGAAATAAAATTTTCAGACTCCAAAAATTAAAAAGAACTCTTTGATGGTAAAGCCTTAAGGGTTGTCTGGGATCATTTTATTTTATTTTATTTTTCATTTCTTATTTTTATTTTATTTATTTTACAAATATATTCAAAATTAATTATCAGATCATGACTGTGTCACTGGTTTTTGGATCTGACTGTTTTACCAATTTGTTTGTGGGAAAATAAACACTTAAAGGAATACTTCTTCTTCTTATCATTTATAGTTTAGTGTGAAGTTATTATGCTCTCAATTTTATAGTAGTTAGCAGACACTCATTTGTTTCAAGTTTTATTGGAATTCAAATGATGTTCATTAAGTCGTTGATTGCTTTCCAAATTGAGCCACTTGTAGTTTAAAAATCACTAAGTCTTAAATAAGACATCTTTAATTTTGTGATGTCCATAATTACAACAACAACAACAACAAAGCCTTGATCCCACTATGTGGGGTCGGCTACATGAATCCTTTTTCTCCATCGCGTCCTATTTAGTGTCATACTTTCCATTTAAGTTTACTCTCCTAATCGGGTAATCTACTCTCTGCCTTTAATAACATAAGTCGAATCTAAAATATCTATTCTCCTAATCGGATCATCAAATGGTCAACGTTTAATGTGACCAAAAAATCTAAGACAACTCTCTCTAATTTTGTCCATCATCAGAGATACACGAACCCTATCACGAATATACTAATTTCGCATTTTGTCCCTAAGTAAAAAGCCACTCAATAATGAAACTATTGTGCTAATGCAAAACGCTAAAAAACATTGCTCATTCGATAAGGCTATATATTCAACTAAGGAACTTTATTAAACACCAGTCAAAAATCAATTAAATTTTTTTTCTTAAGAATTTGCTAAAAATGTTCAACCTAAATCTATAAACCATCCAAAGTTCATTTTTAAAAATATCTTAAAAATGTGCATTGAAATCTTATTGTATTACTTTAAATCACTTTTTAGGTTGATCTAACTTGCATTGTATAACCTAAATCTATAAACCATCCAAAGTTCATTTTTAGTAGCTGACTATAAACTTGATTTACCCATTATATAACTACTGTTATCAAGCCAAAAAAAAATGAAGAAACCAAATTGTGTAGCTAATTTTGTTCAATTTGTCTCTTTCAACTTGGATGCCATGAGGCGGACTTTGGAAAGTTTTGAAATTAGAAGGGGGAATTCGCAGATCTTCCAGACGCAGAGCTCGCAAGGCTTTGAAACCAAATACATTACCCACAATGGAAGTAAACATGTCGGTAACAAAACCTTCTTCAAAAAGGTTTAAAGGATAAGCTACATAAGCAATATATTGATTTTCCTCCCCAACAACGACCTCGATGCGGTAGCATCAACCTTTGTAACGATCAAGACTGGTAAGTCCATCAGTCCACACAGTTGTCCATGTACCAATAGAAGACTCGACACCGCAGCCCTTACTTTTTTAGGCAGAACTCCCGGTTGAGGGGTTACTCGGAATGTTGCCAAGATATAGTGCTTACAAGCTTGCCCTTTATAAACTAATTGATTTTGAATTTAAGAAATTATTGAGACTTAATCTCTTATTCTCTCTCTCTTTTTTTTTGTGCTTGATTTATATCTTTAATGAGATATTAGTGTCCTTTCATGGATAACAATAGATCTAACATCCTTTTAAATATGATGAATAAAGATGTGCCAAAGAATTATATTATAGATTATCTTGAACATAGGTAATTCTTTCAACATAGCAAGCAACTTAATAACCATGTGACATTCGAGCAACTGTAGACTTTTGAAGATCACAATTCATGAATGATCCAAAGGTTCTTCGAGGAATTTTCTAGAGATGCTCATTTCACTTGCTCTCTGTAATAGTATAAATCAATTTTTTTTTCAATGATGGCCACATTGTATTAACCCTGATGTTGTTATTTCAACATTTTTTGATAATGTGGCTTATCTCCCATAAGAGAACAACAAAGACATATCTCACATGTCACCTAACAAAGACTCGACCACAACCTATGAACGTTTTTTTCACTAGCGTTTGCAAAGGCGTGGTTGTAATAGAAGCCAAGATGCTTATTTTAAATTTTTATAGAGGAAAGTCAATTCCAATTGACTATGTCATTTGCATTATTTTCACAAAACAAGAAGAGAAAATTTATAGCACACTTTATGAAGAAAAAAAAAATTATTTGAAAAAACAGTTGAATGAGAGATTAATAATAATTTAAGTTAATAAAATTTATTCATGTTATGTTCTAAATATAAGAATCAACACTAGTCATTCGCCACTACCGCACATATATTCATTATTATGCCCCCAAATGAGTAGGATTCCATGGAATATTATTGGCCCCTCCACCATGTCTTGCATACAGGTTGAAGCATTATTTGTCACACTCAAATAGATAATGACTATTGCTTTACTCATATAAATGTAATTATGCTAATTGATTAAGCAATCAATGATTCAAAGACAAACATGATCAATTTTGTTAACAGCAAGAATTGAGGGGAAGTTTCTAATATCTAGTTCTCTCCTCATAATAAGTATCTTAAAGCAAAACTAAGGTGGTGGCATTGTTGGAACTCATTAGGTGATGTCACAAATAAAACTGGGAATTTCGGGATTCAGGTTGTTGTTTATCAAAACAAGTATTGAGTGTAAACTTTTCCTCCATTGCCTTGAATTTAGGATCCACGTTTAACAAAGTTGAGATTCTAATAATCGCAAGAATGCTCTTCATATAATATTATCTAATTTCTGTTATTATTTTTTTGGGTAGTTTTATGGTAAAGTAGTAGCTA